TTCACTTTAGACAAAGCTTTTGACGAAGTCCCACACAACCTTTTCTTAATCATCTTAGAGATAGGTGGGCTTAAAGGCTAGGTACAGACAGTCAGAAAGCCCAAGGCTGAATCAATTCAGTCTTTGCAGGCTAGTCTAAGCTGCACAGATTAAATTGAAACAGAAGTGAACAGACATTTACCTTTGATTCAGGAAATGCAGCCACATGCCTGCAGTGGCTCAGGCCAGAAGCCAGGGGGCGCTAGAGAACAGCTCTCTGGCAGTGTATTCGCTTCCTCTTCCTGCTGCCCTTGAGGTCTCTGGGATTTGCAGTCCAGAATTACAGTAGCAGGACTCTGCAGAGTTGCTCATCACTTCCTCTTCCTGCTTCCAGGTACCTCTGGGATTTGTAGTAAGTTTAAAGTGGGGGAAGGTTTGCCTGTGGAGCTGGGGGGGCGCAATCTTTCCCCTGTAAACTGGGCTCCATTCCCAGCCAGGCTTGTCCCTGCCCTTTGTCAGCCAGCCCTCACTTCTCCAGCTAGGGAGTAGAGGGACTGAGCCAGCCCTGCTCTTTGGAGCAGACAGCACAGCCTAGCCCAGGTTTGGAAAGCATGCTGGGGGACTGTGATTTAACTTGAACCAGGAAGGGATCTGGGACAGAAGTTTTCATAAACTGATTTGGGTCAAACCAGTTAAGTCTGATACTACATTCAACCAGGTTCATCTTAAACCAGTTTCAGCCTTTTTGAAACTGGTTTATGTGCACTGAGCTTCTGTTTTGTTACAGGTTTAAACCAGTTTTTGATCACTTACACCGGTTTGTGTGTAACTTCTGCCCCAGCTGAAAAGATTACTACAAGGTGAATAGGAAATTGAGTTAATAACTGGAAGTAAAGGTTAATTACAAATGAATCAGTGTCAGAAAGATGGGGTTTTGAGTGGAATTCCACAGGGGTCTAGTGGTTTTTAATGTATTCATTAATTATTTGGATGCTGGAATAGAGTGCTTCCTGAGTAAATTTGCAGATTACACAAAACTGGGGAGGACTGCAAACCCTCTAGAGGATAGGGACAGCATTCAGAAGGATCCTTATAGATTAAAAAGCTGTTCTGCAGGCAATAGGATGGAGTTCAACATAAACAAATGCAAGGTGCTACACCTAATGAAGAATAATCAAAAGCACAAATACAGAATAGGAGAGAACTGGCTAAGTGGTAGGAGAGCTGAAAAGGATTTGGGGGTTTTGGCAGATCACAGACACAACTCTAGTCCACAATGTGAGACAGTTGTTAAAGAAAAAGCAAATGCAATTCTCGGCTGCTTCAATAGGAGTGTTAGCATAAGACACAGAAGGTGATAATGCCTCTTGGTGCTGGTAGGCCTCATCCATAATACCGTGTACAGTTCTGGGCTCTATGTTTTAAGAAGGATGTGCAGAAGTAAGAGAGGGTCCAGAACCAGTGACAAAAATGGTAAAGGGGTTGGAAGACAAACCATGAAGAGAGGTTGAGAGAACTAGGCATGGAATCATAGAAGAGTAGGATTGGATAGGACAGTAGTTTTTCAGCCTTTGAGTAAGTGTACCCGCGTTTGGGGGGGGGGGGGGGGGCGCCCTGTGGGGGGGGGGGGGGGGGGGGCGAGCTGCAGTGGGGTTGGCTCCCCCTCCCCTCAGAAACACTGAAGGTTAACTGCAGCCAAGGCTGGGGATTATGATGGGCAAGGTTCCCTCTAAGGTGTGCACATGTGCGGCTGCACACAAGTAAAAGGCTGGCTGTGCACAAACTTTTTCAGGCCGCACACCCACTGGGAATGGAGCTGGGCTGTGGCGTGGGACACTTAGTAAAGGTAAACTCCTCCCCTAGCTGAGGCGGAGGCAGAGGTGGGGGCTGGTGCGGGCTTTGCCAGCTCTGGAAACTGCGCCGCCCCCCTGCATTGCCTCGGAGCGAGGCGGCACGTGGTGTCAAGGCCAAGGAGTGGAGCACTTCCCAGAGTCAGCGGAGCCTGTAGTTCCCCGGAGCTGGCGGAGCCTCACTCAGGGAAGGCAGCAGCTCCTCCCTGAGGTGAGGCAAGGCAGGGATGAAGGCTGGGGCGGGCTCCACTGGCCCCAGGGAACTGCTCCGCAGGCTCTGGGGAACTGCTCCACTCCCTGGCCCTGACACCACATGCCTCTTCACTCCCCAAGGCAATGCAGGGGAGCGGAACAGTGTCCCAAAGCCTGCACTAGGCCCCAGCAGAGCCTCACTCAGGGCAGGCAGGCTCCAGCCCCACAGCCCTCCAGGCTCCAGCCCCACAGGCCCGCTGCCTGCCCCGGGTGAAAAGTGAGGAGCTTACCTTTGGTAAGTGTCCCATACTGCACCAGAAGGGGGAGGCAGGATTGAAGTGGCATGCTCACGGACTGCTACTCCTTAGAAAGAACATTGATAATGGTTGTGCTTGTGGTGGGTCAGTAGGAAGCACTCTTGTGCTGAGCCTCCCACCTCACTGTGCCTGACCACCTATCAAGCTCCGAGTGTCTCCCCTTGGGTGCATGTGACTGGCCAACCCCCTTCCTAGAGCACACCCACAAGCCTGGAGTAACTGCTGCCACCACCCAGGGTCTGCTTGTTGCTCAGGCCCTGTGCCCCCCCAGGGTACACAGGCCTTGTAGACCCCTTGAGGGCACTTGGCCCACTGTGAAATCTTGGGGTGCTTCCCTTTAACCTGAAGCACAGCCAGTTGCCTCCCTTAGTCAGCTGAGCCAAGGGAATAAAAAGGCATATCCATTCCCTCTCAAGCTTGTTCCCAAAAGCTGGTTGTAGTGGATAGTTTTATTGGATAGAGAGGGTAGGTTTGGGGAAGGGTATAAATCAGAGAAGTCTCAAAAGAATACCCTGAGCAAACAGAACTGGCCTGATAGCAATTTAATATGCTTCTACATTGCAGATGTAGTTAGGGATCTTCTGGAAGGGCTAGACATTTTTAAATCTGCAGGTCCAGATGCCCTCCA